GAGACTATAGGCGCCCGCCACAATGCCCAGCCATTTTTTTTGTTGCAGTTTGGGTTGGGCTGGGTTTGAACCCACCACCCTTGGTATATGGGGCCGGTGCCCTACCCACTGAACCACAGGCACCACCCACTTTGCAATCTTACTTATCCAAGCTTATTTTACTGCATACCAAGTTGGAAATGAAATAGTCTCTGCAAAGCTCTTGGCCTTGTGTCTGGTAAATGGCTATTGCTACTAGACAGCAGTCCATCTTACCCTCCCCAAGACCCTTCCGGTAGGTATCATAACTTCTACTTTGTACCTGGGGAGCTGAGGCTCAAAACAGGTATGTCACCTGTGCCAGTGCCATAGCCAAGCAAGATAAAGTGGAGATTTGGATGCAAGCTTGCTGCCTTGCTTGGGTCTTGCCTCTCCTGGGCTGTGGCTGCAAACATTGCAGTCCCCTCTGTGACCATCCTGGGTACCCCCGAGTTACTATACCCAGGGGTGGCCCACACATGCCTGAGAAAATACCCACACACCTCCCCAGCCCAGCTGACTCACCAGGGGTTGTGGTCGATCCCATTGAGTCTTCGGGCCTGCAGTTGTTTGGCCATGGTGAGCTGGTCACAAGCAAGTAGGTCAGAATTAGAATGTATCTAGGTTCAGCAGTCTGAGTCCATGCAGAGCAAAAAAGAGTTGCTTTTAGGCCACAGCCCTACCCCACCCACTTCCAGGTAGGAGGCGGAGAGCAGAGAGCCCAGAAGGCAGGGCAGGATTTAGCCTGCTCCACTGCCTACTCTCCCAGCCCCCACACCTGGCTTCTCCTCTCTCCAGCCACTCCAGTCTCAATTTCCCAGACCTGGCTCCACACGTCCTGAGCCAGAGCCCTCACTTAGTAAAGTCTGACTCAAGAAAGGCTGGGGCCTGAGGAGGAGGAGCAAGAGGTAAGGGACAGGATAATGGCAACAGTGACATAGCAGTTTCTGTTGACAAAGATCTTCCTAAACTTCTATCTAATCCTCCGAATGATCTGGTTGGGCCCATCTTATAGAAGAAATAACGGAGAGTGGAGTCAGGGGAGTGATATTTTCAAGGTCACACGGCAAATACACTCAGCCTCAGGCCTGTTTGACCAAAGCCATATTCTAAGTCTGAGGAGGGGGACACTTCAGTTCTGGGAGGGTTTCAGGGGTCCTCCTTCCCAGCCTGCCCCTCCCCTTCCTGAGTCTCTTCCAAGCCAGTTCCGCCCACCCCTCCACCCCCCCATCGGTGTACAAAACCTGGCCAGGCCTCAGAGCTCAGGTCCTAAGCCTGCCTGGACTAGGTGACATTGAACAGGTAATTCAACTCCTCCTGGCCTCGGCCTCCCATCAAGACAATGGGAACATGGGCTGTGTGGTTCCTGAGTGACCTTCCATTCCTGTGGGTTTGCCCGTCCCAGGTGGGTGGTGAAGCCAAGTCTCCAGCACTTGTCTCAGCCCTGCTGTAGCCAAGAGTGAACGCTTACTGCAGCTCCTGAGCTCACTCGGTCCCCGGTCCCCGCAGCCCCTCCACTAGGGGGACCAATGACCATCTCCAGCAAACTCATCTGGACAGTGAGGCTAAAGAGGCTCAGGACCTGCTCAAGATCAGAGGAGAAGCTGGCCAGGACCCTTGGGTGGCTGCCAAAGCAGGTCTCAGCCCCAGGCCCCTGCATGGAGGCTCCAGTACCACTATACCATTTGAATAAGGGCCAGGCCAGGTTCTTCCATATCCTGGGAATCCTGCCAATGTGAGTGATCCAACATGGAGCCTGGCACCCACGGTACTTTGGAGGAGGAGCAGCTATGACAGCCATGTCCCTTCACTGAATCACCAGCACACATCAGCAGGCCTAGCATAGTTTAAAACAATGCTGATCCTCACCGGGGAAAATTAGGTTATCACCAAAATGTTCATGGTGATTATCTGTGATCGGTTAACAGTATTTTTTTATTTTTTACCTTATAATTTTCTTATTATCCAAATGTTCTAAAACAAATGTTTTATTTTTATGATTAAAAATATGGGAGGCCTGGGAGGCTGAGCTGGGTGGATTGCTTGAGCTCAGGAGTTCAAGATCAAGCTGAGCAAGAGTGAGAACCCATCTCTACCAAAAATAGAAAATCTAGTTAGGTGTTGTGGCAGGCACCTGTAGTCCCAGCTATTTGGGAGGCTGAAGCAAAAGGATCACTTGAGCTCAAAAGTGTCAGGTTGCTATGAGCTAAGAGGCCATGGCACTCTACCCAGGATGACAAAGTGAGACTGTCTCAAAAAAAAAAAAAAAAAGGTAGGCTAGATGCAGTAGCTCATGCCTAAATCCTAGAACTTTGGGAGGTCTAGGTGGGAGATCTCTTGAGGCTGGGGGTTTGAGACCAGCCTGGACAACACAGTGAGATCCCATGTCTACAAAAAATACAATACTAGCTGGATGTGGTAGTGTAGGCCTATAGTCCTAGCTACTCAGGAGTCAGAGCCAGAAGGATCACTTTAGCCCAGAAGTTTGAAGTTGCTGTGAGATATGTATTATCATGCCACTGTACACTGTACACACAGGATCACTCCTGCTGTGATAGAGGGACACCTTGTCTTAAAAAGAAAATGTGGGGGAGGCCAGGCGTACTGGCTCATGCCTGTAATCCCAGCGTTCTGAGAGGCTGAGGCAGGTGGATCGCCAGAGATCAGGAGTTTGAAATTAGCTTGAGCAGGAGCAAGACCCTGTCACCCTACTCAGGAGGCTGAGACAAAAGGATTGCAGGATTGCTTGAGCCCAAGAGGTTGAGGTTACTGTGAGCTACAATGATACCATGACACTCTACTCAGGACAACAGAGTGAGACTCTGTCTCTTAAAAAAAAGGGGGAGGGGGCGGCGCCTGTGGCTCAAATGAGTAGGGCACCAGCCCCATATGCTGGAGGTGGCGGGTTCAAACCCAGCCCCAGCCAAAAACTGCCAAAAAAAAGGGGGGGGGAGATAATCACATTTTAGAAGAGTATTTGTTGATGTAATATATTGATATCAATAAAATAGGCTACAAAGTAGCATGTAGACTCTGATTCTTTTGTAAGTAAAATACCAGCTGGGTGAGGTGGCTCAGGCCTGTAATCCCAGCATTCTGGGAGGCTAAGGCAGGTGGATTGTTTGAATTCAGGAGTTTGAGACCTACCTGAGCAGAGTGAGACCCCATCTCTACTAAAAATAGAAAAACTAGCTGGGCGTTGTGTCAGGTGCCAGTAGTCCCAGCTACTGAGGAGGCTGAGGCAAAAGGATCGCTTGAGCCCAAAGTTTGCTGTGAGCTAAGATGATGCCATGGCACTCTACCTAGGGCAACAAAGTGAGACTCTGTCTCAAAAAAAAAAAAAGAAAAGAAAATGGGTGATGCCTGTGGCTCAGTTGGGTAGGGTGCCGGCCCCATATACTGAGGGGGTGGGTTCAAACCCAGACCCGGCCAAACTGCAACAAAAAAATTAGCCAGGCATTGTGGCAGGCACCTGTAGTCCCAGCAATCGCCTAAGCCCAGAGGTTGCTGTGAGCTGTGACGCCCTGGCACTCTACCGAGGGCGATAAAATGAGACTATCTCTAAAAAACAAAAAAACAAAAAGAAAATACCCTAAAGCCTATTTGTATACACATATGTGTTTTCTATGACCATTATGAATAGAAGAAAAATCTTGGGAAAAACTTTTTTTTAAAAGCAATTATGGACATTTTTTTTATTTATTTATTTATTTTTGAGACAGAGTCTCCCTATGTCACCTTTGGTAGAGTGCTGTGGCATCACAGCTCAAAGCAATCTCCAACTCTTAGGCTTAAGTGATTCTCTTGCCTCAGCCTCCCAAGTAGCTGGGACTACAGGCACATGCCATAACGCCTGGCTATTTTTTTGTTGCAGTTGTCATTATTGTTTAGCAGGCCCAGGTCAGGTTCAAACCTGCCAGCTCTGGTGTATGTGGCTGGTGCCCTACACACTGAGCTATGGGCACTGAGCCAAGGGAAAAACTTTTACAACCTATAACATGAGTTTAGTTGGAATTTGTCCCTTTGTCTAGTCCACAAAATAGCAGTGCATTTTCCGATGATGGCATAATGAATTCAATGATATATGGAATGGAATTATTTTTGAAATGGTGATACATTATATATTTTTTAAAAAGTCAAAAGCTAGGGTAGCACTGTGGCTCAAAGGAGTAGGGCGCTGGCCCCATATGCCGGGCCAAACCCAGCCCTGGCCAAAAACTGCAAAAAAAAAAAAAAAAAAGTCAAAAGCTAGGGACAGTGGTGTATGCTTATAGTCCCAACTACTAGGGAGGCTGAGATGGGAGGATTGCTGGAGTCCAGGAGTTTGAGGCTAGCCTGGGCAACACAGTGAGACTCTATTAAAAAAATAAAATGGCTTGGCGCCTATGGCTCAAGCAGCTAAGGCGCCAGCCACATACATCTGAACTGGTGGGTTCGAATCCAGCCTGGGGCCGCCAAATAACAATGACGGCTGCAACCAGAAAATAGCCGGGCATTGTGGCGGGTGCCTGTAGTCTCAACTACTTGGGAGGCTGAGGCAAGAGAATCGCTTAAACCCAGGAGTTGGAGGTTGCTGTGAGCTGTGATGCTACGGCACTCTAACCAGGGCAACAGCTTGAGGCTCTGTCTCAAAAATAAAAAAATAAAAAATAAAGTATAGCTAAGTCAGGGACAGTGGAGGCAGGGGTGTATGGGGGCTGGAAATTGGAGCAAGGAGAGCTTAGGAAGGGTAGTGTGTGGGAAGGGTTAGAGGGGGCAGGGGCACAGATTGAGAGGGAGAAGAACAGAGGAAGTGAATGGAGTTGAATGGGTTTAGGAGGGAGACAGAAGTAATGGGGGTACCCAGGAATGCAGGGTGCTCAAAGAATCAACCTTCACTTATGTCACATGGTGCTTAGATAAATGAGGAAACAGTGCCTTTTCTTGGGCTTATGCATAACAAGCCTAACATTTATTGAGTACCCACTGCATATGAGGTGCTAGGCTGGGCACCAGGGTAATAGGGAGGCAACAGCATCCCAGCAGCATTCAATTAGCCCATTTGGATGCAGGATTACAAGTTCTAGACTAGAGAAGCAGAGGTAAGGAAGGGACCCACATCCAGCCTGCAGTCAGAGAGGGCTACCTGAAAGAGGAAGCTCATGCACAGCTTTGAAGCCAGGAAGAACAGGGACCATGCAGGTGGCGGAGCATGGGGGTTAGAACACTTACAGTCTGGTGCAAGCACCAAGTGAGCGAGGGTCCAGCCTTCCTTCCCTGGAGGGCCCCCACCAGATGTACACATATGGCGGCTGCATTCCTGAACATGCCTCCCAGAGCCACGGGGCACTGCTGACTTCTCCTCCTGGTGTAAGAGGAGGAGGGAGGAGAGAGCCCTGACCATAAAACACCTCCAAGCTCAGACTTGGGTCTCACACAACAGCTCTATCAATAACAACAGCAGCAACAACAACATGGGGATTGGGTGCCGGGCACATGTCAAGTGCCTTCTTGTATGATTATCCCACTCAGTCCTCACAATGACTTTGTCACTCACACACAACACACACCCCAGCAAGCAGAGTGACCCTTTCAAAATACAAATTGCCTCTAAAAAAAAAAAAAAAAAGAAAATGACCCAGGTGAGGGTTATGGATAGCCTCTAACCTCACAGGTAGCATCAACCTGACATCATGTTTAGACTTTGGAAACACATACCACAGCGTGAACCTAAATCAGATCACAGTGAGTTACTAAAATACAGGAACAGAAGAACAAGTGATGCCACAGAGATGTAATCAACAAATTCAAGTTAATGGAAACTCTACAGCACAATGACCCTTTTTCTTTAGCAAGTAAATTGCAAGAAATAAGAAAAGGCTGGAGTACTAGAGATTAAAAGAGATTCGGGTGCATGGGTAGTGGTTCAGTGTTAGAATTCTCGCCTTCTCGGGTGGCCCAGGTTCATTCCCGGCCCATGCAGCCTGATGCCCCCTTAGGGCCGGGAGTGGTGGCTCGTGCCTGTAATCCTAGCACTCTGGGAGGCTGAGGC